AGCAATATCATCCTAATACAAAACAATTTTCACTACTATAATTGGTAGATTTTTCAATGTATAATGTCCTATTAAGAAAAAACTTGAAAGTGCAATGTTATGCTTGGATAGATCTTTCAAACTCTTAATAAGAAAAAAATTGAAAGAAATGAAAGTAGGATGCTGTAATATACAAATAAATAAAACTATCAATGTATTTTAGTTGTATTGCAATTACATCATATTTTATTTTATGATTATTAGTAACTATTAAGCAAAAATTGATTTTCTTTATGATTTTTCTGCTTTTAGGAATGCTTTGAATGTCCAAATTTTTCTCAAGATGCACAGATCAGATTATGCTGAGAAGCAATTGAGAGTCATGCAACAGATTGATGAAGATCACACTCTAACTCAACTTGCTACTGCTTGGCTAAATTTAGCTGTGGTATGCAATTTTCTTCTCTCAAGAAATAGCAACTTACTTTCATTTATCAGTGGATTATATTTATAGCATATTATACTTTGAAAACTAATCCAATTATATCCCTGAAATATGGTTTGTAGTTGTATCAAGTTGCTATAAATTGATAGTTTTTTCAAAGTACAATTCTGTAATAAGAGGAAATAAAAGGATGATGTAAAACAAATTTATGAAAGTAGATTTATATTAGGGTTAATCTCATAAAAGACCTTATATATTGTGTTTTTTCCAGATTAAACCTCAAGCTTATTTTTTGCCTGAAAAAGACCTTGTATTTTTTCATTTTTTCCGAAAAAACCCTCAAGTTTGTCTTTTTTTTTTTTTTCCGAAAAAAACCCTCAACCTTCTAAATGCTTCCAAATAAACCCTCAAGTTTTTTAATTTTTTTCGAAAAAACCCTCATATTTTACAATTTTTTGGGGTTAATCTCAAAAAAGACCTTGTATTTTGTGTTTTTTCAGATTCAACCTCAAGTTTATTTTTTACCTGAAAAAGACCTTGTATTTTTTCATTTTTCCGAAAAAGCCCTCAACTTTGTATTTTTTCCCAAACAAACCCTCAACCTTCCAAATGTTTCCAAAACAACCCTCAACTTTTTTAGTTTTTCTCGAAAAAACACTCACATTTTACAATTTTTTTTGGAAAAAATGAAAATATACAAGGTCTTTTTCAGGCAAAAAATAAACTTGAGGTTTAATCCGGAAAAAACACAAAATACAAGATCTTTTTTGAGATTAACCCAAAAAAAATTGTAAAATGTGAGGGTTTTTTCGAAAAAACTAAAAAAGTTGAAGGTTTATTTGGAAGCATTTAGAATGTTGAGGGTTTTTTTCGGAAAAAAACTACAAAGTTGAAGGCTTTTTCGGAAAAATAGAAAAATACAAGGTCTTTTTCAGGAAAAAAATAAACTTGAGGTTTAATCCAGAGAAAAACACAAAATATAAAGTCTTTTATGAGAGGTTAACCCTTTGTTAAAGGGTTTTATGCAGAAAAGTCTCATTATTTTGTGAAAAACTTTTATAGAGTCCTAAATGTTTTTTTTAACAGAAAAGTCCGATTATTTTGGGAAAATCACATAATCTGTCATTTCCTCTTCAAATAAAAAAAGGACTTTTTCGTTAATTTAGGCAAAATGTTAAATAATCGGGACTTTTCTATTCAAAAAAAAAAAAAATTAGGACTTCATCAAAAATTTTCCCATAATAATTGGACTTTTCTACATAAACCCTTATATTAAACTACACTTACTTTATTCTTATGTGTACTTATTTTATTTATTTATTATTTTTTTTAATAAAAGGGAGGTTCAAAGATCCAAGAAGCATATCTCATCTTCCAAGACTTCTCTGAGAAGTACCAAATGACAAGTTTGATCCTCAATGGAAAAGCTGTGTGTTGTATGCACATGGGTAACTTTGATGAAGCTGAATCATTTCTACTCGAAGCACTCAACAAGGTAAAAAAATACTTTAAAATTAAATCATAATATCATGACAAAATTACAAAAATGGTCCCTGCGGTTGTTAAAAGTATGTGCTTTTGGTCCAAAAACGTTTGGTGGTGCATCAGTGGTCCGATTTTGGATACCCTGTGTGGCTTTGGTTCCTATCTCGTTAACTTTTTGAAAATGACAATTTTACGGTTTTACCCTCAAGGACCATTTCTGCAGTTGTCTTTTTACCAAACTACAAGGACCATTTCATAAATGGTCCTTGTAGTTTGGTAAAAAGACAACTGCAGAAATGGTTCCTGAGGGTAAAATTGTCATTTTCAAAAAGTTAACGAGATAGGAACCAAAACCATACAAGGTATCCAAAATCGGACCACTGATGCACCACCAAACGTTTTTAGACCAAAATCACATATTTTTTACAACCATAGGGGCCATTTTTGTAGTTTTGTCAAATATCAATCTGCTTTACGAAAATTCCAAATTATAGCAAAATCTCAGGTCATTGGTTACAAATTATAGAGAAATTGTCAGAAAATAACGATTAAGTCCCAAAAAAAAGTTCTGATTATTTATTTATTTATTTATTTTTAACAGGAAATGACATATTATCGTGTAAAATCAAATAATCAGGACATTTCTTTTCTGGGACTTAATCGTTACTTTTTCCAAAATATTGGGACTTTTCCGACAATTTCCCTAAATTACAATCATGAATATATTGAAAGTAAGTATATGAGGTTTTGACGCCTTTGATGTTGATATAGGATGCAAAGGATCCGGAAACACTTGCTAATCTGGTTGTATGCAGTCTTCATCTTGGAAAACCTTCTTCGCGATTTTTAAGGTAAGTGTTGACTGTTGTCAGTTGTGTTGTCTGGATATATATATATATATATAGATAAAATATTTAAATAATATTTTGATGTGTTTGTTTTTTCAGCCAGTTGAAACTGTCGCATCCAGAGCACATGCTAATCAAGCGAGGATCAGCTGCAGAGGAAAGTTTTGACAGAGCAGTACAAACCGTTTAAGATTACAATATATGAATATGAATATGAATATGTTTTAAATATTAAAGACTTAGCTGTTTTGTTTGATTGTTAAAATGATTTTGTTGGAAGACTCTTGTTATTTTTTTTTATTTGTTGGTTGAATAATCTAGAAGCCCTTTTATTGTTGTTAGTGATATTACTTTTAAATATTACTTATGTTTGTGATTTTGGGTTATGGAAAATGTAAATGTAGAAGGCTAAAAACATCATGCATGAAGGCCTTCATGGACCTGAATCAACTGAATCTTACTACCAATATTAGGCTACATTAGTTGCATGGGATACAATTGGATTGGATTGGATTGAAGGGGAAGCTTGACTCTTATTTTTTTTTATTTTTTTTTTTAATTTGTTGGTTGAATAATCTAGAAGCCCTTTTATTGTTGTTAGTTGAACTGAATCTTACTACCAATCTTACTATCCAACACTCTCCTTCAAAAGCACTTATCGATTTAGGGCTTCTGTCGTCGCCGCCATGAATGTGAGCTGCTAGATCATTCTTCCGTGAAAGTGCTCTTAGTCTGCATGCCAGCAACTAAATCAACTTCAGTTTTGCATTTCTCTATGATCCTTTTCTATTTCTTATTCGTTTCTGCGAATCATATAATGATAGTAATGAACATGGAAATTGGAATAGTTGATTTTGTGGTTGAATTCGACATGCGTATATTGTTCTCGATGGATTTAGTTGAGGAAATGTTGGAGATGGTTTTTCCAACTCGTTGTGAAGTTCTTCATCCCCGATTTCTCTGTTTAAAAGGTATTATCTATTTGTGCTTTACTAATTTTTAGGATAATGACGATTGTTGGTATATGATTTGAAGATTGAATTTAGTATATAAAATTAATTATAGCCAATATATAGAATTTGGTTATATGCTAAAAAAAAAAACTTAAAAAAATGAGTTTACAATTTGGTTAAATTCAAAATAAAAAGTGAATCAATCTTATTTTAATTTTAATTTTAGAAGTTTGTGGACATCATCCTACTACTATTTTCAAGCATAAATTGGTATAATTGTTTCAAACTCTTACTTTGTGCATATAGTTAGAACCACATTCTTTTGGGTGATTTTTGGTGATATTGCTATACTCTAGAGTTTAAATTGTCCTACATTGTGTGCAAAACTTTGTTGAATTCATTTAAGCAATGACTTCCCGTGGAAAAATGGCTAGAATTGGGACTTCACATATGGGTGGTCAAAAGACCAATGATGAACAAGACCAACGTTCCATAGAAAACCTAATGATTTTGGTCTTATTTTTTAGGCCAATCAACAAGAGATTTTGTATGCAAACTTTATTAGAAGAGTAAAAGGGGCTCAAAAGTTTGTGGACATCCAAGCCCTTAAGGACCTCCATATCTATAAATGTGTCCACAAGCTCTTCAAGAACATAGGATGGAAAAGTTTATTGAATCTACATTCAGTAAGTTATCAAACACCAATGTTGAAACTCTTGTCATCAATTAATTTTGACTACCAAACACATATCCGTACTTTTCGTTTGTTCAATCAATCTTATCAAATTCATGCTGACATCCTTTGTGATATTATGAGTGCTCCTAAAGCAAAAAGGGATGTGTATACAGCAAAAGGCAGAAAAAATATTATGTATGAGCAAAGCTGCAAAAGGTTTTGGAAAAGCATCTGTTGTGAAGACGAGTTTTAGTCAAGCACAACAAGAGCTTCTAGAATTATTCATCCGATCATGAAGATCACCCACCATATTATTGCTTCTCTCTTATTTCCTCAAGAAGAGATTAGCAATGCGAACAAGAAAGAATTAGAAGTTTTATGGTGCATGATTAACAAGCCCGAGGAGGTTCCTCACTTCGGGTGTTGGGTAATTCAGAAAATGCTCAGAAATGCCTTGAGCAACTTCATTGTGGAGACATGGTTTCTATTATAGCTGAACATCTTGGCCTCCACTTATCCAATAACCCAACAGATATAATCACGGGCCGTACTCGTCTCTCAGTTGATGTTATGGAGAGCATGCATCTTTTTCACCGCATTCCCAATAGGGATGTTCATTGGATCGTAGATGGAAAAGAGTATCTACGGATTGACAGACGAAATAAGAAGATATCCACTTTGGCCAATGACATCCCATCTACCAATTGGCGTCTCCAATCCAACTTGGGTGTTACTGTAGATCGTAGACCTCCAACCACTCCTCCTCCTGCTCCAACTGCAAGTGCTTGTAGCTCATCTCGCTCCATTCCTTTTCCTGAACACAACATTTACATGGACGGGTTTACACGCTTAAATCACCATTACACGAGCCTCTAGCAGGAAGTAGGAGAGGTTTACACGAGTGTTGCTGAAATCACTTCCGAATTTCAGGACTACCGTAACCTTCAAGAAGAGCGTTGGGCCCAACAAGAGATGCGGTGGGCTGAGCAGGATCAACAATGGGTAGCTCTAGCTCAAGAGCAGCATAACTGCAACATTGATCACTTGCTGAACGATATCCACCAAGTACTTGTGCTTCCCACACAACAGCAGTAGTCATCATCATCCCAACCCCAGTGGCCTGCATATTATCCTACTGATTATCATCCTTCACAGTTCCAACCATATCTTCCACCCGACCCTCAATAGGCTGGCTGTGCCTCTCTCCAAGCATCGAGGATGATGCTTATTTTAAGCTTGGGGAGGGGCATCCATCAATGCATAAATCCTATTGCATGTAGGTTGCATGTAATTTTGTACATATTGCATTGCATTATTTTTTTTCATCATCATTATTATTTTTTTTTTCATTTTTTTTTGCATAGAAAATTTTTCAAAATCCAAAAAGATTTTCTTTCTATTTTATCTCTAATATTTTTGCATTTTGAATCTAAATTTTTGCATTGCATTAATTGTCTTGTTTAAACAAAAATTTGATCCAATCCCAAGCAGCTGAATATTCTCAAAATAGTTGAGCTGTTAAGTGAGTCGTATGCCTTGAGATTAGATTTGCTCTTTTTATTGAAAATCTAAAATCAAGTTAATCGCACACGAACACACCTCCCAAAGCTACTTGTGCAAAACAGAAAGTGAGAAGATTGTCAACATTGGAGCATAACAGCAGGCATGAGTCAATCTTTGGGTCACGTGATGTGACATCCCCAAAATCACGGCCAGAAAAGACCGATTTTGTTTATGCTTTATAAAAATCAGAGTACTTCATTTTATAAAAATGTTGCGGAATTTGTTCCCAGAAAAACATGGTAAATACGTTATTAAAACATTTTCGAAGGAACGTATTCATTTCATTTTTAAACGTTTGGGATGTCATCGTTAATACAGAAACATAAGCATAAACAGAACTTACAATTATTTACACTAGTGATCTACATCTCTTTAAATCTCTCAATGTAATGTCACTTCATACCAACACCTGTGATATAATTAAACTGAGTGGGTCAGGTTGGGAGAGCTAGTGAGCACATAGGGTTTTCAACCCACAATAATATAGTTATTATTTTTAAACATCAAACAATCAACCCAATTACCCATTCACGTTATCCTCACATTACGTCCCTAAAACATCTAACACAAGGGACTTAGTCAAAGGACTATCATTGGGATGGAGTGTACCTGGTGAGCACACAGTTCACACAGTTCGAATGAACACACAGTTCGAATAAACACATAGTTCAATAAACACACAGTTCGAATAAACACCTACAGGTTGCGAGCCTGCTAGTGTTCCACTGGACTGTCTAGAATAGTCTGTGGTCGTCATCTATACTCCGCTAGATGACTAGATCATCAAGAACAGCTATAACGAGGCCTCTCATCATTTTATCACACATCACCTATTACATCTACCCATGTTTTACCCCAACATTTTCGTAGATATAAAATACATATACAGTTTAAATCATTGTAAACATGTATAACAACGTTTATCCAGCATAGATAGCAAGTATTCAGATAATATGCACACATAGCACGTAATTTATATAAAATACTTCATATCTATGTGTAAGCTGAAAGTAACTATGCACTCACCCGATTAGGTGGTGACTCAGCACTCGGACAGCGCTTCGATACTCTCAAAATGATATTCCTTCGATAAAACCTAGTATCGATACCACTAGGGTTTAGTTTAACGATAACCGCGACAAATTAGTTAGTCCGAGTGTTATTAAGCGTTAATAATACTCGATATATCTCATAATAATAGCCCAAATAATTATTTTAAGGATCTAATAACATTCCTATAATTATTTGAAAGCTATATTAAAAATTGCGTAAGCATAGCACACTTGTACTGAATTTTATCGAAAACCGGAACTTAATTGGAGCAGCATTTCGAAACCGAAAAACTCTTTTTTTCTCGGGACTCCGGGAGCCTCGGGGCTTCCTTAGGGTGCTAGGGGTTCACCTAGACTTTAGGGAGGGTTAAAACCCTTAGAGAGAGAAAGTAGTGAGAGAAAGAAATGGATTTGGAGTGAAAAACTCAGAATGGATCGCATGCTATTTATAGCCCCAGCAGCCTTGGACTACGCGTCGCGTCCAGCAGCGCTACGCGGGGCGTAGCTCGGAGGTGGTTACCAGCTCGCACCAGCTAGCCCGCACTCGGACTCGGAAGGATAAGGTCGGAGGTACGCGGGGCGTACCGGACCTCGTACGCAGGGCGTAATGTGAAGGGAGGTGTGTCCGAATCTGAAGCGTCCTATGATCATCGATGGACGGCCCACAACGCGCCACGTCATCAACTTCGCAATCAGCTTCGCAAATTCAAGTTATAACTTCAAAAATTCGTAACTTTCGCGTACGACCTCTGTTTTTGACGTTCATTATATCCACGCGAAAGTGGGAACGTACTCTACAACTTTCGTTTAGACTCCATCGGCTAATTTTGACTCGATTTTAAATTTTATATTATTAACAGACCGGGACAGGATTGATCCGTTAAATTCTCATAACTTCTTCATCCGATGTCCGTTTTCGCCCATCTTTTTCTTGTTACGCTACTCTTATCGATATCTTCGATTCTCGTTTAGGTCGTGTTGGCTAAAAACCGCTCGATCTAATATTCGAATTTCAGGCTGTACACTACTAATCCGAAACTTCGAAAAATCATAACTTCTTCATACGAAGTCAGATTTGGGCGTTCTTTTTATCGATGTTATTAGTTGAACATATTCTACGACTTTCGTTTAGATCGCTAAGGCTAAATCTCGCTCTATCGTCAATTCACTATTTACGCTTCCCGGTATCGTACCGGTTCCGTCGCGAAACTTCAACGGGTCATAACTTCTTCGTTATAACTCGGATTTCTGCGTTCTTTATATGTACGAAAACCTTGAGACATATTATACAACTTGGTTAAGATTATTTATTCCAAATAATCTTTTGTCGAAAATTCGTTTTCGACCTCTATTGCCTCTAACTTGACTAGCCCGGATCTACAGGCGTTACAATTATCTCCCCCTTAGGATGATTACGTCCCGGAATCATCAACGAAACAGGGCGCGTATAATGACTCTATACGTCATTTATTCATCCTAGGTAATATTTTATAACTTCCATATTCCTTCAAGTCTATCTCTTAGACTCATTGACTGTAAGCAGTACTTAATCGTGCACCTGTTCTCTACCTCAGGTTAGACTTCAAATTATGATCTATCATCATGTGTCGCACTTTTAGACTCAGGTTTTTTTTAGAGTTAAATTCTAAAACAGACTATGCCTTCCTTCATGTTCTAATGTGATATAATCACACCTTAACATGTAGCATTTCTAGCTACCAACTTCTTTAACAACGAGCGCGATACTTCTATTGATCACTTTGATTTCAATTGTTTGGTTTAAGTCGGACGCTACATCAAACTTGGTTCTCTGAACCACGTAACCTACTCATCGTAGTCGGACTCAATGTGATATGACCATTAGGGTCGGGATAACAACAATATTTTTAGTCATTACCGAAACAATGGTAACGACATAATTGAATAAAACGAAATCAATTACTAGCTTCTTGGTAACCTTGTGACTTTCCCTGATCCAAGTGTGAGTCTTGTGCTTCCGGTAGTATAGGCCTCTACTACCATCCACACCTACTCATACTCGTCCCAAGTATTTTCCCAAGTCACCATGCAGCAAATCACACAATCATTCAACACATCAGATAACAAAACGAAGGTTTTATTTTGTTACTTGAAACGATTACATGGGTGTTCAAGTTCACCCTAGATTATGCCTTTAACAGGCTACATCATGTGACACTATCTATATGGCTTCTTCATAACTCGATCTCTATATATCCATCCTTACTCCTGATTCCTTGCATCGTCAGCTGCTTCGTCAAGGATCATTTGAAATGCTCTTGCCTTTGGTTTTGGCGGCACATTTGGCTTTGTAGCCCCTTCTCTTTTTGGGCAATCTTGTTTGAAGTTCCCTTCCTCGTTACATTCGTAACACACCCTTTTGTTGAATTTACACTCGTTGGCATAATGCCCATGCTTCCCACACTTGAAACAAGTCACCTCCTCACCGCATTTTCCAGAGTGTTTCTTTTCGCACCTCTCGCACCATCTTTCTTCACTCCCTCCTCCTCTAAACTTCCTTGTACTGGACTTGCTTTTCTCATCGGGCTTCGCAGACCCCTCAAACTTTCTCTTTTCTCCAACCTCGGTCTTGTTGGCAGCTCTTCCCTTGATCATCTCCTCAACCGACTTGGCAGCCCAGATAGCTGCCTCCAAAGTAGGTGCCTGACGTACTGGCACTGCGTACTCCCATGGAAGTCCTTTTGCATACTTGTCAACTTTCGTCAGCTCATCCGGAACAAGACGTAATGCGAACTCCATCTTCTTTGTGAAGTTGTTGGTGTATTCATCAACAGACATGCTTCCTTTCTTCAAGGTAAGGAATTGGTTTTCTAGCTCGAGCAGATTTTGGGCTGAGCAGTACCTACGTTTGAATTGCACTAGAAATTCTACCCATGTCAGTTGCAGGGGCTTATTGGGGCTCAGAGTCTTCCCCAAGGTATTCCACCAACGTACAGTGCCTCCTCGAAACTGAGGCACTGCAAATGTGGTTTGTTGTTTTTCCTTGCAACCGCACGTCATGAAAGCTAATTCCATCTCCGAGATCCAATCCATGACCCCGATCGGATCCTCCTTTCCAGTGAAAGTCGATGGCTTGCAAGTCAGAAAATCCTTGTACTTGCATCCATTCCTCTCGACTTCGTCATCGTAGTTGTTTTGTCGAACTATTGGTGGGTTGACTTGACCAACAGTCCCACTGTAGTCTCCTTCCTCAGTCTGCCCTTCGTTCAACTCGGGTTGTTCGATCTGAATAGTCGCTTCCTCTCGATTTTGCTGGAGCAAACGTCTGGTTTCCTCCATTTGACGATCCAACATCGCCTGGATCATTGCTTGCACTCCGGCCATCGTTATTGGTTCAGCAGCGGCTACCACAACCGGTATTTGCTCAATCACTGGGTGTTGGTTTCGGTTTCCATTTGCATTCACGTTTCCGCTACGGGTTCTTGCCATCTTGATCTATACACCGAATAAGGTGAATCTAGACCTTTACTTA